CTGCCCCCTGAGCTGCCAGTGCCTTCACTCATGTTACTGGGTGCTTCACACTTCTGCAAATGAGGCCCCAAGCACTTGGTATAAAAGATTAGGATTGGAAGAAACACCTATGCAGTTAAAATGAAGGACTTAGTCCATGAGACTTCATGATGAAGGGATGTGTATTGATCATGAGGATCAGGTGTTAAATATACCAAGTCTGTGTTTCCTAAAATCTGTACTACCAATTCAAAAATTGTAGATGGATTTTAGTAGGGGTTTTTTATTTTGCTTTCAAGCCATTTCAGTGATAAACTTCTCGGTTTTGGTTTGGAGTTAAAATTCTGCAGTCTCTTAGTTTGTTGAAATACAGGAACAGGGAGTAGTAACTCCCTTAAGTAACACCTCACTTGCAGAGGTGCTTTCAGATTTAGGATGGGATTTGTCACTCGCAGTGTCACTTTGCTTTGGGGAGTTGCATTTTCACAAACAGTTCTTTGACTAGTAAGTCCTTTGGCTTCTCTGGGATGACAAGGTGCAGCAGAGAGGATCAGAGGAGGATCACAGTGGCCCCTGCTTGCTCTGTCGCTTCTGAGTTCATGGGCTGCCCTGTCTTTTTCCAGATCCCATGATGTTTCCTGACAGCAGTGCTCCAGAGAAACGCTTCCCATGTGAGTTCTGCGGCCGATCATTTGCAGAGGGCTCTGAGTGGGAGCGACACGTGCTGAGACATGGCATGTAAGTTGTTTTCCATTTCTTTCCCAAACAGCCAAAGGTATCAGTAGTATGATCTCTGTATATTGCCCCTACCTCATTCCTCCCCTCCCAAAAAGCTATGGAATGAATGCAGATGCAGTTCTTGGAGGGACAGGTCTATCCAAATATGGATATAGTCATGTCATGGGAAGTTCCCATTCATCCTTTTTAACTCTGCTGCCCAGTGTGGCTGTAGACTGTAGGGTTTAACTGTGATTCTAAAATGTTAAGATTGTCCCTGCGTGAACATCACCTGGTCAGGATTACCTTCACCTGAGTGTACTGTTGATCTTTTTTCAATCTCTGCCTTTCTATAGCAGTTTGCACACTGGGGGATGATAAGCATCTCAGATAAGAAAGGCATCTCTGGAACAATCTGTTTACCTCTTGTGATGAAGATCTCCTAGGTAGCAGAGATCTCGTTGCTGATCAGTTTCTTCAAAGAGTAGATTTCATTCAAGGTTGCTGACAACATGTGGAAAACATTTGGATACAATATTTTAGGTTAACTGTGATGGTATGAGAAATAATAACAACTTCTATTACCCTTCGTATCATCTGCCTGAATATGAGTACTTGAAATGCTGCAACCTATAAAATGTTTTATTGGATCATTAACTCTTAAGGAAAAGTACTCTTTTCCTGTGCCTTTGTTTGGTGCCTCGTAAGTCTTGGTTTACAAGAGACTGGGGAAAGGGAAATAAACTTTGCAGTGTCACAATTTGAGTTCCTCTCTTTCCTCTCATACCTGTCCCAACATAGAACAGACCAAGATTTGGTTTCGAAGCTAGGATGTCATTGGTCCCACTTCATTCCACTGCCTCTCCTTTTGAGCATGAGGTCACTGTGATGTGGCCTGCCTTTTTAGAAAGTGATCTGTTTGTAATCCCTCATGTGACACACGTGGATTGGCTTTGCTGTACCTTGTATCGACTGTTTCTGTTTCCTGCTGCTCGGCTCCAGGGCGCTGAACGAGAGTCAGCACAGGACCAGCGAGGACAGCCAGCCAAAGGAGGACATGGAAGAGACCATTAGCACACTGCCAGAAGAAGAGAAAGAAGACATTGAGACAATGGTGGTGGACTACTCCCACAGTGGCGAGACAGCAGTCAGCATGGTAACTGCCGACCAACCTCTCCAAGACATCTCGGAGGCCAAAAACGAATAAGCATTTGGTGTGATTCAAATCAACGTACTTGAACAGTGATGAGTGGGATAGGGTGGGT